GTGTTTCCATATTTTAATTAGAGTTGATAGTACATGTAGTGTGCATGTGTGTGTGTGTGTATGTGTGTGTGTGTGTGTGTGTGTGTGTGTCTAAGGCAAGTAGGTGAGAAATAGCACAGCTTAGTGGGGGAAAAAACACTAGGCTAGGAATAAAAATAATCTGGGTTCTGATCCCATTCTCCCACACATTCCTAGTGTGAGACCTTGTGTGTATGACGTTCCCACTCTGAGTGTCAGTTTTGATGTGCGAGGTCCTTTCTGGTTCTTGTAGACTGTCTTCTTGCAGGGTCTGTATCTCGCTGCCTCTTATGTCTGCAGGGCGGTGGCCAGTCTGAATACTCCCTTCATCCCGGCAAACCCCAAAGTGGCCCCCATGGAGACCATCAAAGCGAACCCAGTGTTTGACTACCAGCTCTACTTCCAAGAACCAGTAAGTGCGGGCCCTGGGGGCAATGATGCCAGCATCCCTGTTTGTCTGTTTCGTTCTCCCCTTCCTGTTCGTCTGCTTTATCTCTACCCCTTTAATTTTCTGCGGCATTAGTCAGAAGTGATTTTACAGACGGGCTCTGGTGAAATTGGCTGCGTCACCCTTTCCAGGTGACGGCATGTTTCTGTGTGTGTGCTTTGGGGACGGCGAAGGGGAGGGAGGTGGCTGGAATCCCTGGAGGGAATGGGTCCTCCTGCATCTCAGCAGTTGTGGAGTGGAGAGGCTTGTGGATTGCCAGCCCCTTCACATTCTCTGGGTGAGAGGCTGCTGAAACCCACCTCTTACTGGTGACAGCTCTTAGTCTCTCACGGGGACCTGATATCTCTGCTCACTGAGAGGCGAGCCTTGTGATGGCGGCACCAGGGCCTAAGGGTCTTGCAGTGGGTCCCATGGATGCTTTGAAGAGCGTGGGATGTTTCTAGGTACCAACTCACATGCTACAAAGATGCCTGCCAAAGATGTTCCCTGGAAGTGGGTGATACACGTTGGCGAGTCCCTGCCACCGTGCATGGGGGTTTGCTGTCCACAGCGTCGTGAGTCACTGTCATCTGGCCTGGTGCCCCTGCTGCTGCCCTCTTCTGTGAGGGGGCCCCGCTACTCTTTCGTTTGCAGGCTCTGGATCCCAATGTCCACCTACATCTGGGAAATTCCATATGGGGAGAACACATGGCTTGTAGACGGCCATTTTCTCCCTGTCTCCTCACATGGCCGTCCCTCTGTGTGTCCTCATCTCTTCCTACTCCAAAGAGAAAAGGATGGACGGAATTAATTAAACAGGATCATGAGAGCATCTCTTCACATCCCGCTCTCAGCCTCCGCCCTTCTGCTCCCTTAGGGGGAACCTTCCAACGGGGACCAAAGCCATCCCAGTTTCAATTCAACCAGTAACTCTTCTTTCTCTGATGACAATTCTCATAGACAAGATGGTGCCTGTGTGAGGGGAGTTTTTTGATTCAGTCGATAGCCTGACTCATTCTGGAAGGCCCCAAGGGCCTCAGCAGTGTTTTGAAAAGATGCCGCACGTATTGTGTCCCTTCTCCTGCAGGGAGACCAGGCCCCGCCTTGCTGCAGCCCGGTATGTGGGAAGCCGCAATCTTTCTTTGGCTTGGATGGAATCAAAATGTCCTTAAATAGTTTGAGGTAGGGCTCGCTCTTGAGGGATGGCTATGATGTGGATGATGGGTTAGTTTGCTGGGGCCGCTGTAACAAATTCTACAGATGTTTATTTCTCAGTTCTGAAGGCTGGAAGTCCAAGACCAAGTTGTAGGCACGGCTGGTTTCTCCTGAGGCCTCTTTTTGGCTTGTGGACAGCCACCTTCTCCCTGTCTCCTCCAATGGTCGTCCCTCTGTGTGTATCCATGTCCTAATCTCCTCTCCTTATAAAGACTCCAGGTATACGGGATTAGGGGCCACACCCATGGCCTCAATTTACTTTAAAGACCCTCTCTCCAAGTCCAGTCACATTGCAAGGTATCGAGAGTTAAAGCTTCAGCTCTGGGGAGAGGGGAGCACAGTTCAGCCCAGAATAGGTGGGAAAGGGCCAAAGAGACAATGCCCTGGTGAGGGGAAACAAGGGCAATGCCCTAGGTGGAAACTGTGAGAAACCGACCTGCTTGGAGCGGGACAGGAGCGAGGTATCCTTGTGCCAGACCTTGAACGTCAGCCGGGTTCCTATTCGATGTCCAAAGGTGGTAGAGAGTCATTCTGAGCTCATCACCCCATCACGGCTGGCTCCATGGGAGACTTTTCTGCTGGACTGGAAGTCAGAATCCCAGTCTCGGTGTGATTTATTGACTGTCACCCTCTCCGAAGTATTTGCGTCATCCGTGTACATCTCAGACGGTTGCCCAGGCTGGTCTCAGACTCCTGGCCTCAAGAGATCCTCCTGCCTCAGTCGCCCAAGGTGCCAGGATTACAGGCATGCCCACAGAATTTAGTGTGTCCATGTATTGTTCTAGGGAAGAATCTCTAACTTTTATCAGAGCCTTAATTCAGCAGAAGGCCGAGGGTGGTGGCTCACACCTGTAATCCCAGCACCTAGGGAGGTAAGGAGAGAGGATTGCCTGAGCCCCAGGGATTCGAGACCAACCTGTGCTACTTGGTGAGAACTCGTCTGTACAGTAAATCAAAAAATTAGCTGGGTGTGATAGTATGCGCCTGTAGTCCTAGCTACTCAGGAGGCTGAGATAGAAGAATGGCCTGAGCCCAGCAAGTTGAGGCTGTGGTGGCTGTGAGCATGCTACTGCACTCCAGCCTGGTCAGCAGAGTGAGACTCTGACTTAAAAAAAAAAATCCAAAAGCTTAAAAAAAACACAGTACAACAATAAAAATAATACAGTGAAAAACAATGCAGTTTCACAACTACTTACAAGGAGGGACCCAAAAAAACCGGAATTTATTCATAAAAGATTGTGTATTCTTACATGTTTAAGTTTCAGTCACATTCAAAGTCCTCTCCATTTGCTGCAATACACCTATCGAAATGCTTTTTTTACTTCTCAAAACAGTTTTTGGTCTACTGATGCCTTTGAATGCTTCTACTGCTTTTTGTTTCACCTTTTCCACATTGGCAAAACATTTCCATTCGAGAATTTTTTTTGTCCAGAAAAATGTTTTTTAAAAAAGTCGCTCGGGGCAAGATGGGGTGATTGGGGAGTATAGAGCAGAGGGCTCATGCTGCTTTGGGCCAAACACGGCTGAATAGGACATTGCCTTGCTACGCTGTGGTGTGGCCCTGGCTATTTGAACTGCGGCCAGGCCATGTTTCCTGGTTGTGGCCCCCTCCTGTACCTTGGAGAGGTGAATCTCCTCTTTCTCTCTCTTTCACATTTACTTTCTAAATAAACTATATTTTCTAATCCAAAAAAAAAAACTGCTGAACACTCAGTGCAGTGTGGACACGTGTGCTTGTGCTCATCATGAAACAGACAGACACACTGAAAGGATGTCAGGAAAAAAAAATATTCACTGAAGCCGGACACAGCCTCTCACAACAATGCTAGCTGGTACACGGATGCCAATGGGTTCCTAGAACACTCTCCTAGTGGAGGAATCCTGTACTACAAGCAGCCCGCCCTCCAAAAATAATTCCAGGTTTTTGGGGTTCCCCCCCACACACATAGCATTTACATTGTGTAAGGCATTATGAGTAATCTAGAAGTGAGATGAAGTACACAGGAGGGTGTATGGAGCTTGTAGGTGTATACTACATGGTGATATAAGGGACTTGAGCATCCTTGGATTTTAATATTCATGGGGAGGGTCCTGAAACCAGTCCCTCTTGGATACCGAGTAATCGTTTTATGATGTCATGATTTGATCAAACTGCATTTAAAGTATTTAGCAACAGGATTTAGCTCATTTAGAAATGTTTTTTAATCTTGGTAAAATACAGGTAACATCATATTTACCGTCTTACCCATTTTTAAGTGCGCAGTTCAGTGGCATTCACATTGATGTGCGAACATTACCGACATCCGACTCCAAACTCTTGCATCTTCCTAAACTGAAGGTCTGTACCCATAAAACACTCACTCCCCATTCCGTCCTCTCTCAAGTCCCTGGCAACCCCCATTCGACTTTCTGTCAATGATGTTGACGTCTCTAGGGACCTCAGACGCGTGGAATCGTGGAGGGTTTGTCCTTTTGTGTCTGGCTTATTTCACTCAGCATGAGGTCCTCAAGGTTCGTTCATGCTGCAGCCCGTGCCAGAATTTCCTTCCTTTGTTTAAGGCTGAATAATATCCCAGGGTACAGTTAGATCACATTCTGTTTATTCATTCATCTGTTCGTGGACACTTGGGTTGCAGCTCCAAGACTCTTTTTTTTGAGTGACCATGTGCCAGCTGATTCTCATCTTCCCAACAACCCTGTGGAACTTTCTCCCATCTTAACTGAGCAAACAGAGGCTTTGAGAGGTTAACCAGCTGGCCAAGACCAGGTAGGTGAGGGGTCAGGATATCGACCTAGGCTTGTTTGACTCCAAAGCCCACTTGCCTTCCACTAAGCCACACTGTAAGGGCGTTTGGACTTTATTCTGTGTGCTGTGAGGATCCAAGCAGAGAGGTGAAGGACAGATCAGGATAAACTCAAAGTCTGATGCAAAGTGACCTTTGTGGAAAGATGCTTAGTAATTGCCACCATAGTAAGGGCCAATTTTTTTGTTTCAAAGGTTGTTAAAGTTACTGTGGAACAATCAGTACTTCTATTATTCTGTTGTAGCAGCTGGGTTTAAAATCTGCAACGAGGGTTTTGGGGATGGTTTTGTTCTTAAGAACAAAGCCCCTTGGCAGGAAAATGTTAGGTGTTCAAATTAGTGATCTGGCCATCAAAAGGCACCCAGCAACCAGGCTGGGGTGAATCCAGCAGCTGAAACTTACCACAATAGGCACAGAGCTGGGCCCGAAGGAGAAGTAACTCAGGGGTTTCCACCAGCCTGCCTGGACCTACTCTCGAAGGAACAAGTGGACAAAGGCACATCCTGTCTCTGACCCTCCGTTTCCTCATCTGCAAAAGATTGGTCTCTGATGGTTTTCTAACAGGTAGTAGCTTCAAACTTAAGCTGACTTCAGGCCAAGAATTATCATCAATAACATGTCCAACAGCCCTTTGATTCAGGGTGGGTGCTGGGAAGCCCTCCTCCCTGCCTCTCTTCTCCTAACCCTGTCCCACCCAGCCAGGAGGAGGCATGAGTGGCATCTCCTGCTTCTGCCCAGAAGACTCAGGCTCATGAAGCCTACGGAAGGTTCCATCTGTGCATTGGGTGCGCCGCGTCGCTCCTCCTCCTTGCCCTCCTCTGCAGAGCACTGCAGGGTGAGTCTTAGATACACTCCGGGTTTAGACTCGGCACCAGTAACTCCATGAGCCCTTAGCCAACGTGTTGACTGTCTTGTCCTGGGAAACTCCCAAGTCTGGTGGAAACGAAAAACGTTTGTTTTTCTTTC